AGAATATCCACCTGGTAGGGAAGACACCACAGCAGGTGTGGGAAGCAGCTGCTCACATCTCATCTGCATCAGGAGGCCAAGCTTGATTCTCCTTTTCTGTCTGGAACCCCAGCCCACAGAATGGTGCTGCTCACATGGAGGGTGGACCTTCCCATCTCAAATAACCCAATCTAGAAACTCCCTCATAGACGTGAACAGAGGTACGTCTCCTAGGTGATTCTAAATCCTGCCATGTTGACAGGCACAGGGCTGGTTTCCAGATGGGCAGCCCTAAAAAGTTCCCACGCCTGCAGGCTTGGGGGCAGTATTGTGATTCTGATCTTGACCACAACTCCTCACAAAAGTCATGCCCATTTCTAGCAGCTTCTGTTCTGCTCCAGCCTCTGCAGGGGTGAGACCTGGTTCAGAGCACACGTATCCCCACTATCTCCCTTTGTCCGTCCTCCCTTCCCTCTCTTCCTCCTCTCCTTCCCCATTTTGACTTCTGTTTCTTTCCTCTCTCTCTTAAAAGCCTTCTCATGAGGCACAGATGACCCCACCAGGACTTCTTGAGTAAGGAGGGAACAAAGGCCTGTCACTGAGTGTTGGGACCGCCCCTTTACTCTCAGCTCTAGCGGGGGCAGAAGCCACAGCCTCCTGTCAGTAAATACACCCCACCAGGGCTGCAGAGACCCCCATCATTGATGGGAAAGAGAAGGACTTTCAAGTCTCACTTTCCTGTCCCTTAGAGTCATTGTTCTTGACAAGGTTCTAGGCCAAAACTGGGGTCTGATTCAGGGATGGAAACCCCAAGCTTTTCAAGGCTAGTCTGGTACAATACAGGGCAGGACTGCGGACAGGAAGTTGTGTGGCTGTGTGGGTGTGAGGGAAGGACTTCCTCCCTCTCTGACACTTTCAGTGCTGCAGGACCTTGCTCAGCAGCCTTCCTTCCCCCAAGCTCAGCCAGCAATCTTCAGGCCTCGTGCTAGATGCCTGGTCCAAGCAGCAAGGTAAATCAGTCCTCAGCCTGTGTCTGTAATCCCTGACCTATGCAGGACTTACACTTCTTCAGGGGAGAGCTAGCTCAGCGAGAGTTTTATTTTCAGAACTCCAGCTATCTCAGAGGGATTCAGATCCCCGGCACCTTGGGCTACCCTCATCCTGACTCTCCCTCTCAAATCTCTGTTTAAAAAGCAGAGGCGGTCTGGCCCTGCAATTCAAACCCAACCCCGGTACTCTCCCTGGCACTAGAGAGGAAGTTCCATGAGTTCAGCAGTCAGTGAATAAAGTTACTGATAACAGATAGAGCACTTTGCATATTGGAGCTAAGTGAGTTGTCTGGGGATATTTAGGAAACAATCGACAGCACTTTAGATTAGCTCCAGGAAGGAGGAATACATTTCTGAACAGCTACACGGTGGAGCTCTCATTAAACAAGTCAAAATGGAGAAGAGAGGAGTGTTTGGAGGGAAGATGGGAGGATCACCAGCTCAGCTTGGAACACCTGCCGTGGATACCCTGGGAGATGTCCACAGACACCCATGAGGGATGAAGGTGTACAGGTCAGGAGAGTGCTGAGCAGGGCAGGGTTTTTCAGTCTAGATAGAGATAGTGAGAAAGGCTACAAGAAGAGGGGCTTTTACCCTGAGAAACAGGGGGAAGAGTGGACTGTAGAAGTTGATGTTTTTGCTACTGGGAAGCAAAGGAGGACGAGGCGGAGCTGTGCCTGATGCATTTTGCAACCAGAGCTTTTTGGTGACCTCTAGGCTGGCAGGTGTTAGGAGGTGAAGTAAAAGCTAGGTGTTATGCCAGAGACTGACGGTCACCAAACCCAAATCCTTCCTGCATCCCATGCCCCACTTCCTGACCGCCCTTATAACAGGTCACGTGTCGAGTTCTGGCCAATGACCTGGAGAAAGGATGATGCACTACCATCTCCTGATCCTAACCCTCCACTTCATGTTCCAAGCATCTTCTTCCCAGCTTGCGGATAGAGCAGATGAGGTGGTGACTGGGAGGCACAGAGCACACAGAAGGAACTTGGTCACTGGACGGTTACATGGAGTCGGCTTCTGTGAGGTCAAGCTGGACAGGGCTCAGGGAGAATCAGGACCAGCAAACATGAGCTCCTGATTAGCTGTGGAGTGTGGGTAGGAACAGTAGGGTCAGAACAGGCCAGCAGACAGTCCAGATAGCTAGATTTTAGAAGTTAGGTCACTAGGCTAGTCCAGGAACCCAGGATCAGGTCAAAGCAAGTCTCCCTACAGGACCAGGAAGTGCTGGAGTTGGCAAACAGCAGCAGCAGGACACCGGCATGCGTGAGATGCTGTGTTCACACTCACACAGGCTCCTGGGACTGAGCTCCTGAGTCCATTCCTCACAGACTGGCTTGGCTGGATTGTAGCCCTGGGAAGCCTACAAACAGCAGCAGCAGGACACTGGCATGTGTGAGATGCTGTGTTCACACTCACACAGGCTCCTGGGACTGGGCTCTTGAGTCCATTCCTCACAGACTGGCTTGGCTGGATTGTAGCCCTGGGAAGCCTCATGTGCCAGAGCATGTCACATTCAGCCACCAGCTGAACAGGAGCCTACCCACTCAGCTCCTTGCGGAGAGACTTTGACCTGGCCCCATGAGCTCAACAGGGCCCAGTCCTGACTAGTGCCTCCCCCTCTCGTCTGCAAACTGAAGGGGCAGATGGCCAGAATGAAGCCTTTCACCCAAGAAGGGCCGTAATCCATTTTCCTTTCTCTTTCCTTTCAGTCCTTCTTTCATTTTTTCTGTGCAATGTATGTATATGTGTCCATGTATGTCCATATATGTGTGTGTGTGTGTGTGTGTGTGTGTATATATATATATATTTGTGTGCATGTAGGTCCTTCCTTCCTTCCTTCCTTCCTTCCTTCCTTCCTTCCTTCCTTCCTTCCTTCCTTCCTTCCTTCCTTCCTTCCTTCCTTCCTTCCTTCCTTCCTTCCTTCCTTCCTTCCTTCCTTCCTTCCTTCCTTCCTTCCTTCCTTCCTTCCTTCCTTCCTTCCTTCCTTCCTTCCTTCCTTCCTTCCTTCCTTCCTTCCTTCCTTCCTTCCTTCCTTCCTTCCTTCCTTCCTTCCTTCCTTCCTTCCTTCCTTCCTTCCTTCCTTCCCTCCCTCCCTCCTTTTCTTTCTTCTGAGACAGGGTCTTTCACTGAACCTGGAGCTCACTGATTCACCAAGACTGACTGGCCAGCAAGCTCCAATGACCCTCCTCTCTCTGCCTCCCCCATGCTGAGGTTGCAGGTGTGTGCTGTGGGTGTCAGGCTTTTTGTTTTACACGGGTGCTGAGAGTTGGAACTCAGGTCCTCAGGCTTGAGTGGCAAGCATTTTACTGACTGAGCTGTCTCTCCCTTGGACCCCTTCCCCTTTTTTCCTCGTTCGTTTTTGTTTCTAACAATCTATATTACAGCAAAGCCTTTCCCTTTCAGGCCCACCCTCTTGTTCCCTCTCTAAAATGCCTCCCCCTTCCATAAAATTGAGGTTCCAGGGAGAAAGAGGAGGAGGCTGTAACAGCTTTCCCTCGGGGCCCATCTCACAGGCTCGGCTTTGATTTGACATCGTTCTGCCTTTTCTGTAAAAAAGTCAGACAGCACTTGGGAAAGAAACTATTCTTTTCATCTACCCACATATTTGTTTACTTAAGAAGGCAGATTTGTCCACTGATCTTCATCTACTTCACCAGAGGGTGACCCAGGTGTGCACGGAGCAGTTGGGAGAACCAATCAGGAACAGACTTCTTGGGGCTGGAGAAATAAATGATTAGAGGTTAACAGCATCTGCTGCTCTTGCAGAGAGGGGCAGAGTTCATTTCCCACACCCAAAACTTTCTGTAACTGCAGCTCCAGGGGACCCAACACCTTCTTCTGGCCTCCATGGGCACCTGCATGTATGTGTGCATACCAACACACACACACACACACACACACACACACACACACACACATACTCAAATAAAAAATGAAAAAAAGAAGGACGGACGGATTGGAGAGATTGCTTAGCAATTAGGAACACTTGCTGTTCTTGCAGAGGACCAGAGTTCAGTTGCCAGAACCCAACTGGCAGCTCACTACCATCTGTAACTCTGTATGGACATGATGCACATACAAACATGTAGGTAAACACTCATACACATGAAATTTAAAAGAAGGAAAGAAAAAGTATTCCACCTGGCTCAGTGAAGTCTAATTCCAGCACTTGAAAGGCTGAGATGGCAGGGGGGAATTTCTGTTAGTTCTAGGCCAGCATGGGCTACAGAGTGAGAAGTTGTCTCAAAAAATAAAAACAGGAGCCAGACGTGGTGGCTCACGCCTTTAATCCCAGCACTTCAGAGGCAGATGGGTCTCTGTAAGTTCAAGGCCAGCCTGGTCTACATAGGGAGTTCCAGGACAGCTGAGGCTACAGGGAGACCCTGTTTCAAAAAAATTTTTTAAAGTGAAAATAAAAACGCAGGTGTGGCCATGCATACACTGCAACTGCAGCATTAGCACTGGCTGCCCTTCAAGAGGACCCAGGTTTGATTCCCAGCGCTCACATGGTAGCTAACAACCGTCTCTAACTCCAGTTCTAGGGGATCTGATGCCCTTTTTCTGGCCTCTGTGGGCACTGCACGCACGTGGTGCACTTACATACATGCAGGCAACACACTCAGACACATAAAATAAAAATAATAAACAAATTTTAAAATTCCATGTCAGTCCTGAATGTCCTACGCTGGCTCAGATGGAAGGCTGTGTAACACGACACGGGCATGAGTCACATCCAGCTCCTATGGTGACCAAGCTGGGTCACAGACTTCTGGGAGTCTCAGGTGGCAGGGGAAGTCCCACTGCCTTATTCTCTGCCAGAGCCCCTAAGGGTGTCTCCCCATCTGCCATGGCTATGGCTGTGGGGGAGATAAGCAGGCGGGAGGAGCTACAAACCCAGGCAGAGGATGACCTTCCCAGAGGAGGAATGTACAGTGGCAGAAGTGGGATGGAGGACGTACAGCAGCTATCTTTATTATCCCAATTCTAGAGGAAAAGACCCTGCCTGAGGGCAGAACCTACTGTAGCTGCCAACGTGGGAGGCGTGAGGCGTGGCTCTTGAGGGTGAGTCTTCCGAAGGGGACCTTCTGGATCTGCCAAGATCCAGGGCTGAGTCAAGCACCCCTGGAGAGCCCTGCTGAGGCCAGGCTGGGGAGATCACAGCTGGCCCCAGGGGCCCCTGGACACTAGTGTGGAGGCAAACTCTCCCTCTCAGGTACACAAACAACCAAGGCTCTGGGCTGGACAGAGGAGGAGCGTGCCTGGGCGTCATCATGGCAGACAGCTGACCACAGGGTCCGGCCGAACCTGCACAAAGTTCATGGGGCAGAGCAGCAGGGGGCACATCTTCTCATGTTCCTTCAGCGCCTCACTCAGGTGCCGCAGCTCCTCCGTCAGCTTCGAGATCTCCCTGCGCAGCACTGCATTCTCCTGCTCCAAGCACTCATACTCCTGTTGAGAGAGAGGGATGGGAGAAGCCCAGGTAGAGGCACCTGCTGTGATCTCAGCGTTTGAGATGTGGCAGCAGGAGGGTCAAGAGTTCAAGGTCGACCTGAGCTACATAAGACCCCTCATTTTTGTTTTATCTTTATATATATATGTATATATATGGCCTTTTTGAGACAAGGTCTCCCTGTAGCCCCAGCTGGCCTGGAACTCACTATGTAGACCAGGCTGGCCTCGAACTCACAGAGATCTGCCTGCCTCTGCCTCCCGAGTGCTGGGATCAAAGACATGTGCCACCATGCCTGGCTCTTAAATATATTTTTAATTAATTATTTTAATTTTTATGTGTATGAGCAAGTGCCTGCATGTGTGTACATGCACCCATGTCATGCAATGCCAGGAAGATCAGAAGAAGGCATTGGATACCCTGGAGCTGGAGCTATGGTGATTGTTAGCATGTGGGTGCTGGGAATTGAACCTAGGTCCTCTGTAAGAGCAGCCAATGCTCTTGACCGCTGAGCCATCTCTCCAGCCCCATTTTTTCTTTATCTTGCAGCAGGATCTCACTATGAATCCCAGGCTAGCCTGGAACCTACTGTGTGTCTTTGGCTGGCTTCACACTTGTGATCCTCCTGTCTTCACCTCGGTGTACGAGGGCTACAGATGTGAACTGTGGTTGATCACCCTTGTGTTTACTGGCTCTGGTCTCTGTCCTCCCGTAAGAATGAAAGTCATGCACAGAGCTTTGTTTTTTGAATCAGTGTTATGGAAGTATAATTAACATGAAACATGTCTACTACATGTGTAATTCACTGAATGCCGACAAATGAGAACACCTGTTAACATACAGACTATTCCCATCACTCCAAAGTGGTCGTCCTATCCTCCTGTGTCAGCTCACCCCCAATGGCTGATCTGCTTTTGAAAGTCTTTGCTACAGTCATGACTTTCCCCCAAATATCTAGAACAGTACCCAGAAGATAGCATACATAGCATGTTTGTTGATTGCACTGATAAATGTGTGACGGTTCCTGTCATTTCTGAGCTGCTCGATCAAGACACTGTCCTTTGTACTGATCCAAAATTCCTCCCCTCCACATCCACCCATTGGGCTGGGCTGTACCTAGTCGAACCATACAGAGTGAATCCAATACTTTTCAACTTCAGTTCTTGAAATTTCAGGTGACAGCCCCATATTACTCCCCCTTAGGTGTTCTCTGAGCCCAACTCTGTCTGGCCTTCTGTGTTCATCATGCCAGGACCACCAGCCCCTCCGTCTTCCATCCATCCTCTCCATCCCCATCATCCGCATCACATATTCCAGGTTTCCAGACTCTGAGAAGATGAGATGTTACCCCCCAGAATGTAGGACCATGCAAAGGGCCGATGCTTGGCAGTGGCCTCCCTTTGTGGACCTAAGCCACTGGTGACTTCCCTGAGCTTGCAGAGGAAGGTTCCAACTGCATGAGCCGCTGTCTACAGTTGAGTGATCGTTAGAGCTTAAGGACGGGGCTTCCCCCGACCACCGAACCCTCTCTGTTCGTTATGTGCACCTCCAGTGTGTCGTATCATACTCTGCATCATCCAATAACTTGGTAAGCAGTTCTACTTATTCTGAGTCATTGACAACATACATGGGCCAGCAAGATGGCTCAGGAGGTAAAAGCACTTGCTGCCTAACCTGACTACCTGAGTTCAATCCCTGGGACTCACATGGTGGAAAGAGAGAACTGACTCTTGCAAGTTGTCCACACATATGCTCACACACAAACACACACAATAAATAAATGTAATTTTAAAAAATGTTTAAGTCTACAGTGGGGCAACTGCAAATCCCTCCAGGCCAAAGGTGGCCTTGAAATACCTCTAAGCTTCATTTCATGTCATTCCTATGGTTAGACACACCAGGCCCTTCCTGTGCTGAGGACCCAGCCTCATTACCCATCACACCTTGCTTACTAATATTTTTTAATAAACATCTGTACAGAAGCCTGAGCTGTTTATCACCCCCAAGGACACATGCACGTCCACAGCTTGACTCGTGTGATTCTCAACCCCACTGCCTCCCTCCTTCCCGCGGCCTAGCACGAGCATACCTCCCCCAGGAATGCCTCCCTATCACAGCACTACAGGTCCCACACTTTCCTTTTTTTATGTGTGCATATGAGTACATTGCCTGCATGTGGGTAAATGCACCCATGTTGTGCAATGCCTGTGGAGGTCAGAAGAAGGCATCAGATCCCCCGGAACTGGAGTTACAGATGGTTGTTAACCACCATGTGGGTGCTGGGACTTGAACCTGGGTCCTTTGCAAGAGCAGTCAGCGCTCTTACCCACTGAGCCCTCTCTCCAGCCCCGCAGGTCCCACACTTTTCTTGTGCCTTCCATTCCGTTTCATATCGTATGGGAGCTCTCATGTTACATAACGTCTCTCCTCAAAGACCAGCAATGCATAGTCCCTAGGAGTTTCCTCTGGCCGCTTCCAAACCCTCTCCTGAGGGTTCAGCCTCTGTGTGTGCAGCTGCTAGTCAGCCATGTCATGCTCTTTCTCCCTCACTAGGAATCTTTCTTTCAGGGCCCCCAGAGGGACTGCAGGCAGAGGCATCTCTGGAAGGCTCCCGGGGTGTTCTGGAACACTCTCCAGGGCCGCAGCCCTCCTTCCTTCTTCCAGCAGGCTGCCCTGGGTCAGCCTGACTCCACAAGAGCTATGGCCCTGTTCTGTCTTCCGTCTCCCTCCTTGCCAACCACCCCCAGTTCCTCATGATCTCTAGCCAGTTCTAGACTTGGAGTCCAAATTCAGTATACAGACCCAGCAACACAGCCACCCCCATGGAAGAGGAAGCTCTGGATGGAAGGCCAGGTGGAGGGCGAGGTATCATGGAAGGTTTGGAAGCTAAGTTCACACACACACACACACACACACACACACACACACACACACACAGGCGAGGTATCATGGAAGGTTTGGATGCTAAGTACACACACACACACACACACACACACACACCCATCACTCCGTCCTGCACCTTGAAATGCCTTTCACCTGCACGTGAGACAGATGGTAGAAATGAACAGTCCCAGCAGCAGGCTAACATTTTAACTAGACTACAAAGAACAGAAAGCTCTCACCTTTCTATAGTTATTCAGGCTGCTGCAAGATGCTTTGTCCTGGAGTTATGAGGAGTCCTGAGCCTAACTCCTTCCTGGCTCCACTGCTCTCCCCAGACCACTGCTCTGAATATCTTCAGTCTCCTGGCAAAAGCCCTTCACTTGCCTTCCCTGCAGAGTCTGGTCTCAGGAAGGCCCGCCCGCCCCCTCCCCTTGTCTGCCGTTTTCCATCATATGTGCAAAATGATGGATTTTGTCATGACATGTCTTAAAAACTTTGCTCTACTTACCTTCCCACCCCCTCTTTCACTGGCCCCCCTTCCTCTTCTCCACAGGGACTTTCTTTTCTGGGATTTAAGTTTTACTCAGAAGTCTGTCGAGGGACTTTTATTGATCTGGTAGGATATGAGGGAATTTAAAAAAAAAAAAAAGAAGTAAGACTATCTGGGTGAGAGGATGGAGAGATGATTCCATGGTTAAGAAAGCTTGCTGCTCTTCCAAAGACCTGAGTTCCATAGATCCATATACAGATACCCACACACATACATGCAATTTTTAAAAAGAAAATCTTTAAAAATTTAAAAAAAAGTTGGGCATGGTGATGCACGCCTTTAATCCCAGCCCTTGGGAAACAGAGGCAGAGGCAGGTGAATCTCTGAGTTTAAGGCCAACTTGGTCTACATAGCAAGTTCCAGGCCAGTTCAGGCTTAACGGGGAGACCTTATCTCAAAAAAATTTTTTTTAATTGAAAAAATATTCTGGTAAGACTAATCCTATAAAGAGGCCCTGGAAGGGAGGAAGAGGCCAGAGAACATTAAGCATAAGCAAAGACGAAAGAACGCAGCCGTTTCGTATTGAGGAGAAATGACTAGACGTCACCTAAACAAAAAGTAAGCAGAGGGGCTGGAGAGATGGCTCACTGGTTAGAGCACTGGCTGCTCTTGCACAGGACCTGGGTTCGATTCCCAGCACCTACATGTTGGCTAACAACTATCCCTAACTCCAGTTCCAGGGGATCCGATGCCCTCTTCTGACCTCCAGGGGCATTGCATGACACAGATGCACTTACACACATGCAGGGAATACACTCATGCACATAAAAATAATTACATATGATATTTTTAAAAAGTAAGCAGGGTGCATCAAAGTCATTGCTATTTTGGAAGCAATAAGCAATCTACCTCCTATCCTGTGGAGGGTGCTAGGTTTCCTTGGCTAAGGGAGCTTCAGGGGGTACTGTGCTCCGTCCCCACCCCCACCATCCAAGTCTCACTTTCAAAGCAAAGATCTGAAAACCAGAGGCCAAAGAATCACTGCAAATCCCAGGTCAGCCTCAAACATTAAGATGCTTGGCCTAGGGATCTGGCTCAGTTAGTACACTGCTTGTCTAGCACACCTGAAGCCCTGGGCTCAATCCCCCAAACACATAAAACTGGGTGTGTACTTGAAATCCCAGCATTCCTGGAGGCAGCAGGATCAGAAATTCAAGGTCATCCTCAACTACCTAGCAAGATGAGGTCAGCCCTGGTCATGGGAGACCTTGTCTATAAGGATTTGAGGATGTCGATGTGGGTGTCTGGGTGATCTTGCACCCACTGGGCAAAGCCATAGATGCTGCTCAGAGTCCTTCAGGGCACAGTGCAGTCCCCTTCCCCCTCTGCAAGGTACACAGCACAGAGCCCCAAGGTCAACAGCGCTGAGGTTGAGAAAGTTTGTCCTGGGCACCTCAGACATGCTGTCTGAGGAACTCAGGGCCAGGGCTGGACCAGAGTGAGGACTAGAAGATTAGCTGACGTGAGTTCCAGGGAGCAGGCAATGGTGCAGGCGTGAAGAGAAGGATCAGGAAAGGCCATGAGGAGGAGACCCTACTTCACAAGTGGGACCACTGAAGCTCTGTG